ACAATTCTTATAACCAGACTAAAGGTCAGTCTAGAGCTAACTAGTGCTTACTACTGAGTCAAGACCCTTCTCTGTACTTACCCAATGCCCCATGAATCATGAGGTTTTCCAGTCTGCCTCAGAGAATCAAGCATTATTCCCATGTGTGTGCAAGACATGGTTCCCTCCATTCTCTTAAGGTCTTCTTTATCTGCTTTGGGTAGTTTCCCCTTGACCATGCGTTGGTCAATATCCAGCTAGAAACTTGAGGGAAAATTTCTGAAAATCTTCACAGTTCATCATATTTGGCCTCCCTCTCCTTCTCTTCTAATTTATTCAGCTCTTTTCTTCCAATACTCTGCTCTATAAATTCTATACCTCTCCAGACCTGACATTTGTATCCTCAACTGTTTCCTTAACCCAAACAATCTACTGGGCTGCACCTGAGTCCCTCCCCAACCCACATCCCTGGCCCTGCAACCTGGAGATTCTTAAGACAATAAACCAGAATAATTTAAGGATTCATCTTTCAGAAATCACTATCCATTATCACTAGATATCTTTTAAAACTTTGTTTCATATATTGGATCTGTAGTCTGTTGCTCTTTTTCAAGTGAAAAGACAAATCTAACACCAGTTTTTCCAGCTAACCAAGCTGGCTTTTCTTTGCTAAACAAGCTCATCTCCAAAATTTCACCCATTCACAGCCCCACAAGGAAGGGACTTTCCCCCATTTGCTTTATAATCTGTTGTGGCTAAGCGTGGAATCAATCTTTTTAAAATGAAGTCATGGCCTACTGAAAAGATCAGTTCCTTCCAAGTAAAGGATGAAGGACAAGAGAGTGCCTCTTGATAAGAGTGCCTCTGTGCCTCCTTCCAATTTTTCAAACCCTCCTCAAGGTTATTTGTGGGTATTTACAATATTACAAGGGAAGTGTGATTTAATGGAAGATAAAAACTTCTTTGTAAATGCTCCTGGCTGAGTCAGGCTGTGCTCAGAGATTAACTTCTATGCCAAGAGAAAATTACTAAGAAACTGCCTCTTTTCTTGAGCAAAAAAGGGTGGTTTGTGGAAGGAATTCTACAAGGCAATTCAGACTTTAGCAGACAAAGATGGATATGATTTCTATAAAGGACCCTCACCAGGAGGAAGTGGTGCATGAAAAGCCACCCAACATATGCAGGAGCCAGGATGGTTTGATTTGCCTTTCCCTACTATGCAAACCATTTCATCTATCCAATATCAGCACATCATCCTGAGGAGGGGAATACCATACCAGCAGTGGGAAAGATATGCCTGTCAGGCCAACATACCACTCAGTGGTGGGACAGTGGTAGACCTAGCCTCTGGTCTTCTAATCTTTCTTATCCTGACCCAGAACCTCTATGTTATAAACAGGACAGTGAGCTGAACATTGCCCCTGTACTTTCATTTTATGTATGTTTTTGGTCATGCTGAGGTTTGAACTTAAGGCCTCACCACTGAGGCCTTAAGAAGTACTCCACCACTGAGCCATATCCTTAGCCCCACACTACTATACTTTCAGTAAATCAGGACCCTGTTAAAGCCTTGATACTACAAATGGAAATGAGCAGAAAAGGGGATCCTCTTTCTCTTAGGTTCAAGAATCCAGCATCTTTAACATATATTGGGGAGACTGAATAGCAAATGCTGATATTCCAACCCTCTGAGAAAGAAACTGTACCCTTGACTGTCAGCTGGAACTACAGAGAGTCCTGTGTTCTCAGCTTCAACTGTCTGGGTAAAGACTGACCAGAACATCTCAGGACATGTGAGTTCTAGAGCTCTTCCTCACAACATCTGGTTCATGTCACTCAGGTGTACCCCAAATAGAAGAAATAAGAACTAAGTCCCTTACCTGGATGGTAGTGCCAGACCAAGGCCTTCTCAGGCACTAAAGGAATATTTTGCATATTCCAAGGAAGATTTTCAAGCACACACCCTGCCTGCACAGCTCTGAGGGCATTTCCGAAAATGGCATGTGAGAACATTTCTTTACAACAGGAAGCTGGCCCATATCACAAGCCCAAGACTGGATCGGAATGGAGAACCTTCCATTCACACAACATTGTACTATTGCAAAGACTGTTGGCAACTTGGGGACAAGATCCACCTTATGTTGTTTTATACTCTCAAATGCCTACCACTGCCCACACATGTTGGATGTTGTCAAAAAAAGGTCTAAACCCAAGACATGTCTGTTCCCCATTATGCTGTAGGGCATCTTACAGTAATGGATAATGTTGTGAAGTTACGAGAGAGAACTTGGTTCAGCTTCTCTGTTGTTATGGTTTAGATCAAGAATTTCCCCCCAATGGCCTCATGTGCTCATAGGCAGAGATTTTGGGTAACTGAATCATGGGGGCAATATAGCTAACTTCCTGTGAGTTCTGGTTGGCAGAAGTGAGTCCCAGGGGAGTGACCTGGAAGGTTATCTCCCTTCCCAGCTCCTCCCTTCTCTCTCTGCTTCCTGGCCGCCATGACACGAGCAGCTTTCTTCTGCCCAGACCCTTCCAGCATGCTGCTTCTGTGTTTTAGCCTGCCAAATATGGACAGGAACTTCTTAAAACTGTGAGCCAAAATAAACCTTTCCTCCATTAAGCTGTGGGTATTGGACAGTTTCTCCTCCCAATAATAAGGAATGTGACTAAAAACGTTTGGATTTCAGTGACCTTCGATTTAAGGGGAAAGGGTGGACAAGAAGACTCCTTGGCACCTTCCAACTTTAGGTCCTATGATTTGAATATCTGTAACTGGCCTTAACCAGGGACACAGCCTTGGCTTCTCAGGAAAATAGGGATTTCAAACATTAAGCCTAGTTGCCAATGTTTAATTCATACTGGAAACTATTCATTCAACTATCAGCTACAGGCTTAGAGTCAAGTTACAGATGTTATAATCACTCTATCAGTTAAATTGAATTCATGGTACACATTCCCAATGTCCCCAATTGTGAAGCTGAGGTGAAATTTTGTTACTATCATTTCTTTTCCAAGTACTTTATTCCAGGTGGTCTGGAGTACACAAATTCTTAACCCCCAATGCAAACCCACACCTTGGAAGACCAGAGTCTAGTTGTTGAAGGGACAATCAGAACACCCTTAATGAGTGTTGGGGAAAAATAACACTCAGGGAAAAATTCAGTAACTATTTTGAGAAACAAAAATTCTGTTTCTTGTAACTTGGATTCCACTGTCATGGTGATAAAATAGCTAAGTTGCCCAATTTCTGATGATCACAAAGAACCCATTAGCTCTAGCAGAGTCTCCACTCATCCTTCAGCTAGCATGATCAAATAAAGTGGAATGGTATGATGTTTGGAAAAGTCCCAGAAGCCCTGGCTTTGGAAAAGGACAGTAATTTGGGAGACAAGAGGAGGAGCTGGATATTTTCTGCATCTCATAAATTGAAGATGAAATCACCATAAATAGATACCAATGAAGCAATGCCCAGTAATTCTCACTCAGGGAAAGCTCAAATGCCAGAGAGGCCTGGCAGATCAGACCTCTGAAGGCAGATGATCACCTAACACTATTCTAAGTACAGAGAGCTGGTGGAACAGCCAATGAGAGACTGAGCTGAAGAGTTTGCCTATGATGCCGCTAGAGACCAAACACAACCACTTCCTCATGTTGCTATGGTATTTAAACCCAGGTTCTCTAGAGCACACAGCCTCTGCTGCCCACAGCTCCTTCATAGTTTAGGGCCCAGTATCACCCAAGACTGGCACAAAAATCACAACATGAAAACCATGCTGGAAGCGTGAGAGGAAACGGAGGGCTGGTATTAAAGATGCCATCCTCTGTCAGAGTGAGGCCAACACTTCCTGACAGAGTGAGCTACACACTTTCTGACTTTTGTGTTCCTGGGGAAGCTCTGGAGACAAAGTAGGTGAGGGATGGAGGAACCATCTCAGCCTGTGGAAAATCCCAAGCTGAATGTACTTGCAAAGATCAGATAATACAATGAAGTTCAACAAAGAGCTTTTGCAAGGAAAATCCAACCCATTTCTGGTTGACTTTGATATTTATGAGGCAAGGCAAGCAGAATTTAAAGTCCCAAGAGAAACTGTACACTGATAACATCTGATAATGCAGCTTTAAAGTTGGACTAAATATTATGGTGTGAGGATCCAACAGAATCAGAGAGGATGTGGCTATGCTTTGGGAAAGTTAAAGTGACGGCCAGTGGAAACAACCATTATTATTATTACCAAAACACAAAGATCCATGCTGGATACAAGGGAACATGGGGATAGTTCCTAGCAGAGAGTGTTGAGACCTAGAGAGATCACAGCACTTCTAAGGTCACAAGTTAAGTCACTCACAGTCAAGGCACCTGTCTTTGCCTCAATAAATTTTCCTACTTAATGAGTTTGGACAGCTCAAAGACAGCTTAATACAGATAAACAAGCTTGTCCCCAGGTGAACAAGATGGAAAAAGGTGGCACACTTTGACCCAGTGTCATTCCCTTCTCCCTGTTGCTATGAAAAATACCCCCAGAAAAGACTAAAGCCTCAGCTGAACCAATTAACAAACCAAATAGAGGGAGCCAATTTCAAGTTGAAGGTGAGGTTTTATTGTGACTGCTTCCTCCACATTCCCTTCACATTCCAATCTTTCCTTTCTGCCAATCTGTTGGCTCCCCAGACAACTCTAAATAAGACCAAAAAAAAAAAAAGCCTGAAGCTTTCCTTCCCTACAGTAAGTAAAACTTTGCTCCCTTTCCAATTATGGTTGCTGCTTCTCTGTCTCCTGAAAGGCTTTTCTACCACAGGCACCTCAGTCCTTTGTACCACAGAGTTTTCCATGGAGCTGCCAACTTTTGAGACGTGTGTAGACACTGCACAACCTCATACGTGGAGCCATCTTCAGATCAAAGAAGGAAGACATAGTAAATATGAAGTGCCTAGCCCACTACCTACTCAGTAAGTGCTGGGTTTTATTAATCAGTATATAGTTAACTCACCAAAAACATTTTGTAATTAAAATAAGTATGTTGGTGCACATTTTGGCAAAATGTAATAAAATTGGAAAGGTATAGAGAAAACTAGCAATGGCCTCTGCACAAGGATAACACATGCACAAAATGTTCCAGCTTTAGGAAATGGAAATGCCAGTCACCCTGACTTGATCATTACACATTGTAGACATGTAGCAAATTATCACATTGTTGCCTATAAATATGTACAACTATTATGTGCCAATTTTAAAAATATCTCCTTTGAATTTAATTAAGAGTCTATCATATAGTAGTCACCTGGATCTGTGGAGAACAGCAATATTAGAACAGTCTGAGTTCTCCCTTTTGGAAGTATAGAACCGAGGGAAGAGAGCAGACAACATGCCCATGCTGTACAGGGTCAAGTATGAAGGTCTGGAGAAGCACTGAGGAGAGAAGACTCCATCTGACACATGCTCTTAATAGCTTTGAAGTCAAGGGATAGCAGTTAAGAGGGCTGTTGTAGCAATCCCAGGGTGAGCACAGCTGCTCAGACTCAACTGGTGGACAGGGGAACTGAAGGAAAGGAACAGGCACAAGCCTGCAAGAGCACATGAAGCTAAAAGTGTGCCAGCAAGGTGGGAACCACCGAAATGAAGCAGGCCTGGGGCTGCTGCCCCTCCCATGGGTGAGGGTTGGCACAGTTCCTCAGAGTTCGAGGGGCATGGTGCCACATCCTCTCTCTTTCCGATGGGTGTAGGGTTGGACCTTCTGTCATAAATCTTACCCTGAGTACTATGTGGAGATTGGAAGACAGCTGCACACCTAATTTTAGATTCATGCTAGAGAAATAGAGCAGGCTTAATCTCCATGGGAGGGAAGAGTCACAGTGACACCACATTAGGCATCCACTCTTTCAAAGACATCCTGAAATAACTTTCTCATAACCTAGGAGCATGAGGAGGATGATAAGGCTATTCACGTCTCTTGATGTGTTATTTCATCCCCTTTCTGGAAGTCCCCCTCAAGCCAGCAGCGTTGAGCAGAAGTCATTTGGGTACATCTCAGTTACCATTTGGGGGCTCAAGAGAAGAGATGGAAACTGGCAGAAAGTTCCCATCCCCGTATTCTGCTGCACCCTCTGCCACCTGATCTGGGTCAGGCAGCCAGTTATCCAAAGTCTATATTAATGGTGACTAACAATACTCGAGCATACCAAAGCTCACAAAGCCTTATATATTATTTTTAATGCCACAATGAGTCTAAAGGGGAAGACTTGATATCAGGCTTAGAGAAATGTTAAAGTTTAGTTAAGAAATGTTAAATGACTATCCAGGGAATCAGCTAGAGAGGGCTCCAACGGGAGTTGTATTCAGCAACTTTGTTCTTATCTATCTTTCTGTTGGGAAGTAGGGGTAAGGTAGAAGATAGGTAGCTTTGGGAAAGAATTTAAAAAGCAGAGAGAAAAGATATTTAGCCTTTGCGAGGAAATAGCCTTTCAAGTGAGGAGAAAGATTCCCTATCATTAAGCAAATTGTTTCACGGGTATGAGCCATTTAGACGGTAAAAGAAATTTAAGCAAACTTTAACTGCTTATGATTGTCTTACATATGGTGGTTTTAGAAATAAAATGCTGGAAATAGACTGTATAAGAAACTCTAGTGGTGCTTTAAAAGCTGAGGTTCGTGTATCAGGCAGGGTTTAAATCCTAGCTCTTTCACTTAAACTGCAGCAGGTTACTTAAACTTCTCTCAGCTTCAATTTTTTTCTTTTAAATTTGGGGACAGTAATATCACCTGCCTCACAGAGGAGAAGAGAGGCTCAACTGAGAGAATGCAGGTGAAGAATTTAGCAAAGTTCTGGGCACCTCATAAATACCATGGTGATGATGGCTGTGTCACAGTGGTTGATGAAAAGTCCTCCCCTCTATGAAGGTTTGGTTTTAATTTGGCATTTGTCTAAAGAAGGAGAATTATCTTGCCCAGAGTTTACAAGACAAACTGGCCATGCAGAAATACACCTGAGGACTTTCTTGAGGGAAGCATTCCACCCCCAGGATTCCCTTGTATTACTTTCCCATTTTTCTGTGCCACTTTGATTAGATCTGTGCCTGAATTTGACTCCCTTTGTAGGAAGAACAGAAAACAGTGCAGATGATAACTTGTGTGAGTCTCTGTGAAGAGTGCTCATGTGCTTTGGTGCTCTGTTGCTCCACAGTTAGTTTGAAAGGGGAAGATAATCAAAATTACCAGAATCCAAGAAAAAAGGGTCCTACTACCTCGATACCAGAGGTGAGCCAGGCAAGGCTTTCTGGTGAAACTATCTAAACAACATTAGTAAAACTATCTAAACAACATAGTACCTAAGTAACAAAAGGGAGATAACTGAATGAGACTAACACATGAATGAGCCCAGTAACTATCATATAGATTTTGATAAAATGTAAGAAAAGAGACCAGATATTTTTGAGCTTCTGAACATCTGCATTGTGACAGCATCAGATTAGAAGAAGCCTTCCGAATGGAGTAGAAATATGAAGTTCACTGAGTAGTTACCAAAGGACATGATGAGACTGAAGATGTCAGCAACAAAAGGCTATACACAATGATAAAAATGAGACATACCCAAGTCTGATCCAAGTGGACACAAGATGATTAAGGACAAGCCATGCTTTTGAATCAATACTTGGAACTACCATGGTTTCTTGGAACATAAGTGTGCCCCACAAAGAGGGGTAGAGAAGGGAAACTCCAGAATGAACCAAAGAATCACTAATCTGACTTACATGCTGACAAAACATTAATTTCTATCTTTGATATAAGTGTAAATTTAAGACAAAGGCTTGGGAGTTTTTGTCCCTTTATTTATGACTGACGTTTTACATCCAGTAGGTGAGGTCTTTTGGAGAGATTTAGCTGAATTCTATTTTGTAATAAATTTGTACCTTAGAGGAGAGATTTCCAAAATGAAATATTTAAACTTCTCAAAAAAAAAAGATGGCCTCTAAAATAAGTAGTTCCTTGGGCAAATAAGATCTGGAACATGATCACCTTATATATTCTTAATGTGTTAGCCTCAAAAAGCTCTGCAGAGTTTGATGGTAAAGGAGCCTACCTAATTCTGTTTATCCCAGGACTTCTTGATTTATCTGGGGATTTTTTTTGCTGAGATGTAATGTATTTCACCCCAGGAAACACTGGTGTAGAGAGCTGCAGGTGAGAATGGATGATAATGACATAAATGCAGTGACCCAGGAGAAAAATAATCAGGTGGAATATGAGCCTAAGATGGATGTTGGGATGCAGAGAGTATCAGGGCTGGGCACAGAAATGCTGCTTGCCAAATGACCTCACAGAGCTTGGAAATTGGCTGAATTTCTTCTAATAGTCTTTCAAGGCTCTCGCTGAGTCTCTCCCACAAATGATGGATCTTAATGGTTCCAAATATCTCTAAAGCCTTTATGTGAAACCATCTCCCTTTTTAACTCAGTGATTCACTCTACTCCAGCAAGCAGAGGCAGAGCGAATAGGCTGTTTTATTTCCCAGTCATAAAAATACGTATCGAGACCTACGTTCAACCCATGATGGACTATTATAAGGCCCAGAACTCATATGAGAAGTTTAACTGGCTGATTCTTTTGTGACACGGTCACTTCTGTCTCACTGTTATTATTCTGTCTTACTGTTGTAAGTAAAAGGATATACATGAAGGCTCCACATAACAAACAAACAAATAACCATGGGATGTTGAATCTGAAAGATCTGGATTCAAATCTCAACTCTGCAATTTTCAAGCAGTGTGAACTTGGAAAAAGCTCTCACCATATTTTTGCTTCCTCATCTGAAAATGAGGATATCAATACACTCATTCGGGGTCATTATGAAGATGAGAGGAAATGACTTTTGGGTGGGTATGGATGAAAGCAGAGATGAGATGTAGTCATTGTACCATATCAGCAAGAGGGAAGTCATCACCAGACCAGACTGGAAATATGAAAACATATGTGGGCCCTTCCCATCTCCCCATCTGTTACAAAGAATTAGAAGTACTATGAAGGTGACTGTACCTGATTGTTCGTGTGCGCTTTCGGGTATAAGGAGTAATGACCTTGAAAAGCAGTTCCATCGCTCCATTAATCCCCAGCATGGCTCCTGTTTTGACTAAGAAAGACAAAAGCACAGCAGTTGTAGTTGTCACAAGTGGATGGGTTGATACAACTTGGACCAACTTCTTTAAAACTTTGAGGATTATCATATTCCACTAAAAGAAAAACACCAACACAAATAACTAAAGGGGCAATCTAAGAAGTACCTGCCTTTCTTTTCCATCTTGGCTGCAAGTTCCCTTCAACTTTAGTTAATGGATCTTCCATGGCCAAGAAAAGGATTTGGCTTTGCCTCTGTTAGCAGGCCAAAGGGACAATCAGTTGCCCTACTCAGGGATAACTTCTCTTGGAAAGTTTCCTATTTTGGCCCACTTGAATGGTTATAAAAATAAAGTTATAGATTTGAATGATAGAAAAAAAAAACTCTAAGGAATATCTGGCCAAATAAAAGCTTCAGGGTCACTCTTATCTCCAGAAATGCCCTTATTTCTTTCCAGTATCCCCAATATCTCACTCTGGTCAGCTTACTTTAAGAAAAGCTCAGGTCACATCAAGAAGCAAGGGGAAACCACAGTTTAGTGGGGACAAAATGTTCACTGGAAGAAGGAAAGAGTGCTACCTTTCAAGGTGACTCTCTGTTTCCTCCACAGTGCAGGTGTTTCTGAGACATAAAACCTAGGAATGCTCTGTGCTTTGGGCTACTATTGCTCTGGGAAAAGTGAGTGGGCACAAAATGTCTTAAAGAAGCAAAGAGAGAAACAAAAGTGCTGGCTCTCTCTGGGCCTTGGAAAAGGAAGCTAAATGGAAATCTGGAGGCTGTAATTTAATCCATCCCAGGACAGACAGTCCTCCAGATAGACTGAGGCTGAGGTCTTAGGCATTACAAAGAGCACATGTTCCTGGAACAGCCTCTATGCATATGTCCCTCCTGAGGAGAGTGCACACCGTAAGTGCCTGGATCAAAATGCAGGGTTTGGCATTCTAGTCATGCCCATCAGTCTTCCACTCTTATGGCAACTGACTCAGTCCTTATTTCTAAATCGGGAAAACATGCTAGGGCCAACTCTTGAGAGATAATTTAACAAAATTTCAGCATTAAGCAGAGTGAAGGAGGGGATAGTTTTAAGACCCTGAATTGTCACATGGAAGACTTTAGATTTGAAAGTGAGAGGAGATAACAATAAGATGTCCTCAATGAGTTCACCTTTGCTAGATGGCTGTCCAAGGTTGGGTCCTGGCACTCTGTAAACATCCCCATTGGCCATCTGGGCACTGCTAAAACAGGGCTCATTGGCTATCTGAGGCCCATTATAGTTCCAGCCAACTTCTCTGAAGATAGGAGCTGTTCAGAAAGCTTACTAGAACAGTCAGCAGTGACTAACAATTCACCAAAGAGACAGAAATCCACAGGCTTCTTGAACTCTGCCTCTCATCAGTAAAAGCCCTGTATAGACAGTGACATTACATTTTTTAAATAGCTTATGAAACAGTTGGTATAATAAACATAAGTCTGAAATACGAGCCAAATGGCCACCTCTTCATACCTGCAGGCAAATCCCAGGACTTCTCAGAGTTCTGGCTGAAAGTATTATTCTAGATAACCATAATCATCATATAGTAAGGAAGGCAAGCTCTTAGCCTCGTTATTGTTTAGGAAACTATGAAACACTTCAAATCTTGTGCTACTGGCAAGTTCCATATGGGGGTGGCACACCTTCTGGCTATTGCTTAATGAGAGTTATCCTTTATATAAAGCCATGGTTCCTCTTTTCCTTTATTATGGATACATTTGTATAGATCAATTCAGATTCCCCAATTCTCTGGCTTTCTGGTCCCTACATATGAGATGTTAGAAAAGGTTTTCCTGGTAAACAAAGAATGGAGAATTTATCTCCTTATTCTCTAGAAAGACTTTCTCTTTCTAGGGCTCTCAATGCTTATAAATAGAATTCACCAGTGAAAGTCAGGTTATCTGAGTAGGCTTTAGGATACATAGAAAAATAGTCATCTATTTACTCCCCTAATGTGTAAACTTCATATTACTTCAAAAGAGTAGAGAAAGCAGAGTAGGAAACAAAACTAGCACTGAATAGCTACTATATCGTAGTCACACCCAGGAACATTGTCTTATTTATCCCATCAACCGACTCTATGAGCTTTGCAATGGACTGACTTGTGCCCTACCCTGTTACCTAAGAATGTAATTAAGTTAAAATGAGGCCATTGGGAAGGTCAAAACCTAATCTGATTTGTGTTCTCATCAAAAGAGGACATTCGGACCACAGAAAGGGACACCAAGATAAACATGCACAGAGAAAATATCACGTGAAAGAAAAGACACCCATCTAACTGAGACCAAGAGGAGAAGCTTCAGAAGAAACCAAACCTGCCAAACTCTTGAATCTCAGACATTCAGCCTTCAGTACTATGAGAAAATTAATTTCTGTTGTTTAAACCACAGATAGTGGTATTTTGTTATGACACCCTGAACAGGTTAATAGTAATAATTATTGCCACTATACTCTCACAAAGGAAGAAACTGAGGTTAAATAGATTAAGTATCATGTTATGTGACTCATAAGAAATAGAATCAAAGTCAAATTCAGGGTTTCTCAGAATCTTTTTCCTATAGAGCATGTTAGATATAAATAACTGTCACTTTCATACTACAAGAAGGGAGCTGGAGAAAGGGAAGAGAAAGTACGTACTTATTACATGCAAGATAGGAGGTATAGAATTTAATCTATTAATAAAAATGCCTCCATATGGAGTAGAATTAACATGACTTTTGGAGTTAGAAATTCAGCCTTCATGACTTATCTGTATGAATTCAAGCAATTATTTGACTCTTCCAAGAAGCTTTTTTCCCTTAGCTATAAAACTGTGGGTTTAACTACAGGACTGGTATGTTAATTAGAAATCATCCAAATCAGGAAATGGCAAATAAGTATCCACCTGCGTGCCACTACGTACCCCAGCAGTCACCTGAAGGACTCTTTTGAGAAAGATAATAAGATTAAAAACAAATGAGAAAAACTGGTAAACAGTGTCATCAATGCGAAGCTTCAGGGTTCTAGAAAAATTCGTGGTGAGAAGGTAATTCTTAACAGGTGTAACACACAGCAACACTGTGCCCTCAATAGCATAAGGAATGAAGAAAAGCTTCCTTTTCCCTGCTTGGTACCACTTGGTGGTACTAACAGAGAAACTCAGAGTGCAGTAATATGAGAGCCACAAGGAAAACCAACATCAAAGTCCATCTCTGGGAACTGGCTCAAGCATTTTACCTGCTTAAGGAGATGAAACAATAACTCCTCTCCTCCACAGTCTCTGGATTGTCAAGCTCCTTTACTTATCTAGCTGGAACTACACATATTCTCCACTGGCACCCTCATTCCCACCAGACTCCCACACAGTTTCTAGCCCAGGCCTGGAAGCCACCCTAGATGCCACAACAGAGTCACTTACCACAGGAGGCAAACACACGCAGAGCCCAGAGACAGTGCAGGAGGTTGCAGCTGTGGGACAGGTTTTTCCTGGCCAAGATCAGGGTCACATCAAGTGCTTCCAATTCTAGTGCCTTCTGCCCAATTTTTTTATCTAGGAAAACAAAGCAATCTCTCCTAGTTGGATTTCACACTGAGTCTGATGACTGCAGCATGCGTGGAGTAGAGAAAAGGAAAATGTTGGAGGGAGGATAATCATAGCCAAAGACCTATTAAAAAATACTGCAAAATATATGCCCAGTGGAACAAACGAATCAGAGGAGCTCATCCCGTATACACCTATTTTACATGAAGACTTATGCACCGTATGACTTTCAAGTCCTTACATCTAAAGATGTGTCTAGTTGTTCTCATGCATGAATTCCAGTCTAACTAGTTATCAATTTCTTCCTACACAATAACTCTAGAATTAAGAACACTTAAATAATGTAACATTCAAATGCAACGTGTGAACTGTGATGAGAACTCTGACTTGAATATGTCTGTAAGAGACTGTTTGGAAACATTGGGAGAAACTGGAATAAGCACACATTAGGCACTGTTAATTTTATTAAACCTGTGATAACAGTTTATGCTTATGTAGGAAAATAGCTCTTTTCAAAGAAGTGCACTCAAAAGGATTTTGAAACAAACTATTATCTGCCATTTTCCTTAAAATATTTCAAGCAAAAATAAATAGGTGGAAGATATGGCAAACCTAGGGCCTCACACATGGTAGGCAAGTGCTCCACTACTGAGCTATGCCCCCAGTCCAAGGTAAAATGTTAACATTATAAAAGTTTTAGGTAGATAAGGACTCATTCTTCTATATGACACAGAATTTTCACAATGAAAAGGAAAATATACTGTAAGAAAATAAAAATTTCTCCTCGTCTGTCTCTAAAGTATTGCTCCAAATAACCTTACATTGAATATTGCAGATTAGTCATCATTATTTTAATAATTTAAAATAAGCATTAAAACAAGGTTAGAGCATCCTTTGGTCTATGTTCCTTGCTTCCCCTGTGATACCAGGTGATGTATCCAGTCACATTGTTTGCATCCTTTCCAAAGTGTGATTCCCATATCATCATGGTCATTTTCTCAGAAATGCATTGCTATCATTAAGTGCAATATATCTCTTTCTGTGTTTGGCCCATTTCACTTAGCATACAATATCCTATAGGTCCATCCATGTTGTGGCAAATGATGGGATTTCATACTTGCTTAAAATTGAATACTGCCCCATCATGTATACACACCCTTTGCCCCCATCCATTAATTCATCATAGATAATTATGTTGTTTACACATCTGGCTATCATACTATTATGCATAATGCTGCAAACATGAGAATGCACATATCTTTACAAAGTGGTAATTAACGATTTCATCTCCTTTTAGAATGTATGTGTACCTGGAAGGATTGCTGAGACATATTGTACTTCTATTTCTAATTTCTTTGGGACTTTCTATACTGTTTTCCATAATGGCTATCTCTGCCTTTCCAATAATAACGTGCAAGGTTTCCTTTCCTTTCACACCTCCAACACATTTTCTGCATTGAGGACTGAAATCAAAGAGCTCTAAGCTACATCTCCAGCCCATTCATTCTTCTATCTATCTATCTATATATCTATCTATCTATCTATCTATCTATCTATCTCTATTCTGAGTCAGGGTCTCCCTGAATTATCCAGTCTGGCCTGAAACTTGCAATCTTCCACCTCAATCTTCTGAGTAGCTGAGAACACAGGCATACATCACTACACCTGTCTCCTCACCAACATTGGTTACCTCCTGGCTTTCTGGTAATAGTCACCCTCAACTTTGTGAGACAGTAACTCAGATACACAGAGATAGAGAATTAAACACTTAATAAAAGAGAGAGGACTGGGGAGAAAAAGATGGGTAGGTCAAAGGTACAAAGTAGCAAATATGTAGGATGAACAAGTGTAGACATATAATATACAACATGATGATAAAGTTAATAAAATTGGATTATACCAGGAAGTTTTGTTCAATATGTGGATTTTAGCTATTCTTGTCACTAAAAATACCTATGTAAAATGACAGATGCATTAATCTGCCTCATTATAGTAATGATTTTACTGTCTACATTATCCCAAAATGTCATATGTTGCAAACCTCAAATATACACAATGACATTCACTTTTAAAAATTCACTGCAAGTAAAAATTCACTGCAAAAGATAATATCTTAAACATAATTTGGCCAATTCTACCTCTGGGGCCAAAGGACATCAGCAACAAAATTATAAATAAACTTACATGACCTATCCTTTCTGAGAAAAGAAATATCTACCCCATGGTACTCATGAGCAGCCATGGCAGTTTGAATGCCAATTCCAAGAACCATGACCATTTGATGGCAGAAACTGCACCGACATGGTCACTAAAGCAATCTCAAGAGCAACAACTTGGAAACCACTGCCCAGATGTACCTACCATTTCTCTCCTGTGGCACCTAGATGGCTTTTATTTGTCAGGCCTCTAGCCCCACATGCTCAGCACATGTGCACATAATACGCATTTTATTTCACAGCAACTCTACAATTAAGTATTGTAGCTCCATTTTATACATGGGGCATAATAGTTGAGAAAGTTTAATAACTTGCCAAGGTCACATAGCTAGTCAGTGTCAGAGCTAGACTTGAAACCCAGATCTGACTTCCCAGCTTATACTGTTTATGACCAGAGCATACTTCAAGTCTCTACTGTCTTCCTAGAGTTTCTTGGTCCACTCTTAGCTTTGCTGACGTCCTCTCTCTTTCTTCAGCTTTCAGCTCAAATGTCACCTGTCCTTGACCATGCATCTTAGTGTGCCCTCACTTTCTCCTCTTCATGCCACTCATCATGGTCTGCTAACATCCAGTTAATTACTTGCTGACTTGTTGGCTGCCGCATTGGAATAAGAGCTCTGTAAGAGAAGGCTCCTGAACTCTCCTGGTCACTGTGTAGTTTCCAGTGCCTAAAACAGCATGTAGCCTTGGAAGATGTATAGTGGGTACTTGGTGAATATTCACTAGGTGGACAGGACGGTACTGGTTTTGTCTGGTACATCCTCATGCAGGTGTGAGCAGATGCTCATTTCTCAATGTCTGTAGAATATTGAACAGACTCAAAGTAGAGATGCAAATACTAAAGAGAAAGAATTCCCTGAGCCCTTGAGCTCTTGGCTGCAGCTACTGACAGTGAACATCAGAGGTCTACTTTTCACCGGGTCTGAGATTCTCTGGCCTGTAGGAAACTCAACATACCATGTAAGCCCAACTGCTATGAGTTTGTGGTATTTGCATGAGCTGAGTGCCCAGGGTTTTTTTTAACTGTACCGCAAGAAGTTCCAGGGCTTTAGAGAGGTGCTCTGGAGCCTTCACAGAGACATAGAATTGACCGTGGAAACTAACTGGAGAAAGCTCTAAGCCTCCCCCTATTTCTCCTCACCTAAGGAACCTCTACCTCTATGTCACTTTTGTTGAATGGATAGTGTTCCCCTGAATTTATGTCCACCCTGAACCTCAGAATCTCATCTTAGGTGAAAATGGGATCTTTGTAGATTTAGTTAGTTAAGATGAGGATATACAGAATATAATGGGCCCTAAATCGAAACTTCTGACGTCTCTACCTGAAGAGGAGAGCACTATGTGGAAATGAGGTAGAGGCTAGAGAGGTGCACCTTCAACACAAGAAACATCAAAGATTCTGGCAACCACTGGGAGAGAAGTGTAGAACATTCTCCCATAGAGCCTCCAGAAAAAAAAAAATGACCAAGCTAGTACCTTGACTTTAGACTTCTGGCTTCCAGAATAATGAGATAATATACATAAGACTTTGTAAAAGATGCAATTTTTAAAATGTTTCATTTATTTTTTAAATAATTAAGAACTGGAGTAGCTCCTCTTTTATTCACTTATATGACCATGCCCACCTAGTCCATGCCAGTTTTGTCTTCTGTCCTAAACCACATACACTGGAGTAGCTGAAATCTAGGTCAAAACATTTACTTCCTTGTGGAACTAGTCTACCCATCATTAGCAAAGAATCAGGCCTCCTTGCTGCTTCCTACTAGAGCTTCCCAAATAACTCTCATGCTAACAGCTCCAGAAGCACCCTTTCAGTTCCCTTTGGGTCTTGGAGTGTGGATACCTCTGAGCCCAACTTTGGCCAGCAGCCTGAAGAGAGGCAGGAGGATGTCATAGTCAGGAGAAGCTGTCCTGGCAGTATCCAAGAGGGTCTGCAGGAGGGCTTCACTGCCACCCTTGCTGATCATGTAGTGAATCCTCCGGTCTGTGCCTGGGGAAAACAAGAGGACAGATGAACCACAAGTGATGAGCCTCATTTTCCTTAGAGCAGACCTCAGACCTCACAGCAAGAGTTTGAGCAAAGATTGCTTCATTTCACCCAGAAATTAAACTTATGTAGTTCTTGAGGCAACTTTTGTTAAAGTTATGGTATCAGGTAAGGGGACGGAAATGTGAAATGGAAAAACAGAACAATTTTTAAGAACCTAGATGTATTCAATTGCAGCCATTGTAAGAAGTGGAGCCTACAAATTCCATTACCAGAGAAAGTGTTAGTCTTCACTGATGTTTGTACATGCATACGTGTATGTTTATGAATAAGCACACAGGCTTACACATCACCATGTGCCAATGTCTTTCTGCTATAGGTTTTAATTATTAGTAGAAGGCATTGGGATGATAGCTTAACTAGAATAATTTTATTGATGACATAATGACTTCCTGATGCTGACCTTCAACGACTGATCGGAGGAAAATATGAAACCACTGGAATAATCCCTTAAGAAATGAATGTCTGATTATCCCATCTAACAAATTTTGAAGAGCACCTGGGACAACGTTGAAATATTTATCTTTCTACCTAAGAACAGTTCTGAACAGGGGCTTCACCCCTCTCACTCAAGGATGAGCTGAAAAGAAGTGATCACAGTGCAACATGGGAAGGGTCCTGGTTGACCTAACCAAGGTAGGCAACAAAATGGAACCTAACCAAAGAAGATCCTCTGATTTTTTCATCCTAATGAAAGGAAGAGGGAGAAAGGAGGGAAGGGGGGAGGGGGGAAGAAGGAAGGAAGGAAGGAGGAAGGAAGGAGAAAAAAGGCAGACAGGGAGGCAGAGAGACAGGGAGGGATGAATTACCATCAATATCAAGGGAAGAACTACACGGTTTAATTCTGAAAGTTTCAGATACCTTTGGAAAAACTAGAAACAGCATTATATCAGAAGATAAGTGACTTCACCTCCAGAGGCTATCTCAGTTAAAAAATCTGCAGGGAATTTGCCCCGTCAGTTGTGGGCAGCATAGCTGATGAAAAAACCCAGTATGATGGGACCCTTGAGACTCTGGCTTTGGTGTGTCATTCATTCTTGCTATTGCACATCTGTGCAAAGGTTTCTGACTCTAGCTAACTGGGTTGATTCCAACTTACTCAGTTTTGTTACCTTATATCTTACCGAACTTCAAAGCTCAATTTCTGCCTCATTCCTCTTTCCACCTGACATACTCAAGGATGCTGTCAATCCCTGGCTCCCCACCAAAGGGAATAGAAGAAGGAGACAGAGAAAACCTCTCAGGGGCAGCCCTCTCTGAGGAATGCTGAGAGGTACCTACAGGTCCCTGGAGATCCTTGGTCTTACAGAAGAGAAACTGTAGAATACCCAGACACAAATTTCTTCCTAAGTTTCAGTCTCTGTAGGATAAGTGACAAGATGGAAGAGCCCAGGTATATTCCATGTCTCATCACTTCAAAGTAAAAGCATAGGCTGGTGAGTCTATCTTTCATTAGAAACTGGAGCTACAGACACACAGATTCCTGGAACAGGCCAAAGCCACCATAACTTTAGATAAGAGCAAAGCCTACTCACCAACAGAGAGCAGATTTCCAAGGAGCTGGAGGATGGACAGGATGGATGCTTTGTCTGAAGAGCTCTGCAATGAGAAGACAGGTAGCCATCTTAGAAGGAACTCAAGAGGAAGGAGGCAGTGTGAAGCAAAGGGGCAGGGCTATGCTTTCTCCCACTGAGGAAGACTCCCCAAGTGAATGGATGGACAAAGGGAACTCTTCTTAAATAATAACACAGTGGACTGCCTAAGATAGGGGTCTCAGGAGCTATTCCTCCATATTTAACCCTCAAGAACCCTCTCTGAGGATTGGTCCTGTAGTTACATCAGCAAGATGCACAAGTATCAATGACCAACACAGAAACAGCAGGAAAGGGGGCTTTGCAGGACAAGGTGGTACAGATCTTGTATTGAAATAGGTTTGCAATGGCTTTAAATTCAGAGCACAGGGTAAAATCTGAAATTCACCAAAATGTTCTGATGCAGATACTTTCTTGGCAGAGTGGATGAAATGTGACTATCTTGAGAAAAGCCCCAACTAACACCAAACCATATTAGGGTAATGTGCCAAGGAATCTTTGCAATACTTGACACGCTACCCTTGTCATACAGATGGAAACCTGAGTTCAGAGGGTGGAAAGACTTGCCAAACCACCTAAGTCAATCCATACAGAAAAGACAGAAATAAAAGCCAGTTGACCTAGACCAACAGTACCCCAGTACCTATAGCAATGGTCCTTGCATGGTGAGATTTTTATAGAGTGGTGTAGTATCTCAGGAAAAGTCTTAATCTTCCAATTAGTAAGATTTATGCTCCTCATCTACTTCAAAAACTTCAAAAGTTTGCGTTAACCCACCCTTGAAATGCATGATGGCCCCTCGAGATCTGCACCCCATCCGCAAGCTGGGTCTAAGATCCCTTCTGTCTGCCTGTCACTTGAATGTCAGCTCTGACATCACACCTAATACATGGTTTTTGCATCAGGATGCAATCGATGCCCACTGGAGATTAAGCATTTTAAACAAAGGACTAAGTTTTGTGCATATCTCTATTCCTGGTACCTGGCACAGAGATGTGCCAGAGAAAATGTACAATAAATGTATGTTAAATAGAACCAAACTGAACCAAAAAGAACTCAAAGGGATCCCTGAAGTCCAATAGCACCCACAAAACAAAGTGGTGCATATACTTTCTTCATTTCAGAGCTCAAGATCTCCCTGGAAGATATATTCCACCAGGGTCACTTGCCTCAGCTCTAAATGTAAGGGCTCAGCAAAAGACCCACAAAAATAAAGAGAAATATTTTAAAATTAAACTAATGCAAAAAGTTCATGAAAGCATAATATCAAAATGAAACTCAGTAACCTCTATTCTGGGTGGGATAAGGTCTGTCGAGATCCTTAGTCCCTTACTGAGGGAGATTTGGATGTTCTCTGACATCTTTTCCACCAGGAATTTTGGCTTAACAAGGGCAATATGAACATGCATTATACTAATGCCTCTCACCACAGGTGTATTGAATATTAAAGGAAGGTACAATATTATTCTCCATATTTCCAAATCCATGCCTCCCTCCAATCCCCACCATGTACACAATGTTGGTATCTTCTACTCCTTAGTCTACCAAATGTTGGAAATAGGCACCCAAGAGTGGCCAATAAACTTCTCTATCATTCTGAGTTTGCAAGATTCCAGCCTTTTGAAAGTGGCCCCAGATATGAGACATAGCAGAAAAACACAGCGCCCGCAATGTCGGGGTTTGTTTGCTTGTTTGTTTGTTAGCCAACATGACATTTATGGCCAGGCACAAGAGAGAAGGAGATAAACGTCTTTTTACAAAGCTGTATAAATGTGTTTAACTTTTAAAGTACTTTATTCATCCCCTAATTGTGAATAATAAGCAAGGAAAATAAGAGAAACAATAGAGGTAAGAAAAAGAGAAATACTAATAAGGAAGAAACTGATTGAAGGGGAATAAAAGATCCAGATTTCATTTCCCTTCATTCAATTATTCATGCATCCATCATGCAAGCATCCACTGGAACTCAGTTGTGTTCCAGTCACCAGACTAAGTTGCAAGGCTACAAACAAAATACAATCTGCTGTGATGAGGCTTCAGGCCTGGCTGAGCTGGGCAGCTGGTATACAGATAGGACCCCAAGTGGTAGGGCCTGTAGCAAAAGTAAACAGGGATTCTGGAAGTCCCGGAAGGAATATTTAACCCAGTCAGGTCCCTAGGCGATGAAATAGAGAACCCACCGCAGTAAAAAGCCCAGAAAGTGGTTCCAGCAATGTTGCAGCCCTGTGTGCTCAGAGAGAGGAGTGGCAGAGCACGGCACGGTGATGCTGGATGTTGAATCTGCATCCACCATGAGTGGACTGAAGAGAGTAGGTGGGGAAAGGAATTGGGAATTCCTGTGGGCAAGAACTAGACCTTTGTGAATGTCATCAAAGCAGTGGACAAAAAGGCTGCTGATGCAGGCAAAGTCACCCAGTCTGCCAAGAAAGCCGAGAAGGCTGAATGAATATTATCCCTAACACCTGGCAGAAGAGAGGTCTCAGAAAAGTTTCTTCCAATTGGCCATTTAAGTTTACTAGTGAAAAACTGGTTAATGGTAACTCTACATCATCAAACCTTCAGAGGAAAGGAGAATGTCTTGTGGACCATTTGTTTGTTTCAGGGGATGTCACTTTTAACTTATTAGTTTTTTTAAATCAACATTTTCTAATGGAAACAACTTGACCAAAAATCTGTCACAGAATTTTGGGACCCATTAAAACAAAGTTTAATGAGGAAAAAAAACTACATCTCACTCATCTCTGTACTGCCACCTCCTAAGATGTAACAAACAATCTGTATATTATGTTGAATTAATTTCTCCAGCTAAGGAATTGCCGCTTCATTACAGTACCCACTAATATTCTCCGAGAACAGTGTTGTCTTACATACTTCTCTCGTATCTGCCAGCAGGAGATGGAACCAGCCATATGGTACCTACTAAATCACCAGCCCTTAGTACGACCTGTGACCAGCAATACAAGCTGCACATACTTTAACCATTCCTCTGTAGTTGTCCCCATTTGCTTCAAAGACTGGTGGTCCAGTGCTGATGGAGGGTGCATGTCATCTCCCCTGCCCAGGGAATACACCACAGCCCATCTCTTCTAAGTCTTTCTTATGGTTGATGCAGAGGGATATGAGTCCAGATCAGAAAAGAAAAGTAAGTGGAAGGGTACTTGGGAATTCTGTCGATAAATTTTCTCCAGAATTAAAACATACGTGTACACACACACACACACACACACACAACCACAAAGCAAAACCAAAAACAAAGAAATTCTCTTGTTCTGGACACTGTTGTATGACAGCATGATCCTGGGTCCCATGTGACAATGTTAAGACAACAGATCAACTATGAAACCACTTACCTCTGGACTTTCAGATAGACAAAATAAATATTGTCACTTTTAGAAGACACATTTAATTAGATAGTTTGTTCCTGAGGTTAGGTATGACAGATTTTTTAAAAGGAAATTTGACACCACCATGGGCCCTTTCCAAACCATTTACAGTCTTAATAGAAAATAAATTTATTTCACAAACCATACAGCCAGTCCACCAAGAAAAGCCTGTCATTCCAAAGAAAAGAAGAGGCAGTGTCTTTATACAGATGTTGGGTTCATAATGTTCTCACACAGCCCTGAGCCAGAATGCATCAGCATAATATTGTATTTCTTTAAGCAAAAACTGTAGATATCATGGAGAAAAAAAATGCCCCACAATGTCTCAACTAGCATTAATTTATACACTGCTATATTTCCAATAAATATTTTACACTATTTAGAAGACTAACACAAAGCCATTATCTCTCCCACAGTAATAATAAATGAGCAATTAAAGAAGGCAGGATGTGATGTGCCTCGATTTTCCTTTAATGATCCTTTTAAATGAATCATTGACTGATCCCCTGTTGTTTAAGACTTTCCTATAAAAAAATGGATCTGCCAAGCTTTCAGGGGGAGGCAAGTAGTTGCAAGAGCAGTGTCTTTCACAGATGGTGGGGTTTTGAATTGCAATTTCCTCATATACTGTTTCAAATGTGTCACTCCCTTGCTTTAAATCTTCTATGTCTCCCTGTTGCCTTCCTCCTGACTCAGGATAAAAATAACAACCTTCACATCACTTTGCCTTGGAGGTGTGGCTCTGGCTCCTCCTCTCTTCCCAGTGCTGAACATGTCAACACACAGGGCCAGTTACTGAGCCCAAGGGCATCATGGATACCTGCAAAGATATTTTACTCATCCAGATGCCACTGTTTAAGTATAATTCCACCTCCTTTTTACAAAGTGTATCTCAATGCCCAGTTCCAAGTCTCCTTCTATATAGTTTTTGCCACTAACTTGCCTCCTAGCACCTACTACTCAATAGCCACATACATCTGCAGACCCTAAGGAACACATAACTCCAGGGAGTGCCATTCACAAAGACTATGGCAGAATGGGGTACAGTGCCTGGCCTCTCCATAAATAGGATTATTGGCTTTACATTTGTATTCCAACAACACTTTTTACATACATTGTATTAGAATTCTTCTAGATTCTGCCCACTTTCTTACTTTCTTGTTCTGGTTGTTTACTGGTAACAAATTGCCCTAAAACTTAATGGCTTAAAATAATAGCCTTTTCATTATATTTCTTGATTTTTCTGGGAAGGGATTTAGGGTATGGCTTAAGTGAGATATACTTCCGCTTTCTGTGGTATCAAGTGAGGACAAAGAGGGGCACTCAACTGACAAAGGTACTGGTCTCAAGGGTCTGTGATAGTTTCACTCATGTGTTTTTTGTGTGTGGCAGAGATGGCCAGAGGACTGGGATCACCTTGTACTATTAACCAGAATGCCCACATATGTCCTTTCCAGCCTGAAAGGCTTAAAGTACTTGAACTTCTTGTGTGACAGCTGCCCCAAGGCAAGCATTCTAAAAGAACTGCATAGAAGTTGCAAAGTTTCACTTGATTTCACTCCTCCTGCATGATACTGGTTAATCAAGTCACTGGTGCTATCTAGATTC